TGGAGAAGTGTATCGGGGATCTGGAGAAGGAGCTCAAACTGGATTATGAGCGGACAATGAACCGCATGAGTTTTGACAGAGTTGTGATGAGACACCCAGAGGAGTTTTCACACATCACCCTGCCACAGAAGGGTCCTGCATATGTACCCCAATCAGGTGAGACGATTAGCTGTGTGCACATTTGTTTGAGTCAATCTGGTCAAGATTTAAGAATACTACTTTTTTTCCCACCGGGCGTGTTCCAGGGCGTGTTCCAGTTCCCACATTTCCCTATGAGAAGTATAAAACAGCTTTCTTCTTCAAGTCCCTGCTAACAAAGCCGGAGGTGATCCGTGTGTTATCTGAAATCTCGTCTGAGTGCAACAAAGTAGCAAACATGAGGCTGTTCAATGTCACCTCGGTCAAACCACTGCGACTGGACGAGTTTGAAGTCATTCAGGCTCAAATGCATACTCAGGTATCGTAGCATTGGGTAGCTTTTCTTCTGGCAATACTGTTAGTAGCTGACATTGAAAAAAGAGAAACCTTGACTACAAGGAAAACACCTGGATTTCACATTAATAAAGACGCTTTTAATCTTTGTGTCCCTCCTCATTCTCCAGGTAAGCTTATTTCTTAGGAGGGATGGATAGTCTCACTGAGCAACTGCATCCGATTCAACCATGCTGAGTATTGGCCGTGGCACTTTACAACGTGGACGAGTCTCAATGGGAGATGTACAAGATGTCCAAGCTGTACAGATTGATGGCTGTGGTGCGCTACAAGCTGCAGGACTCATGCGCCACCTGGTGCAGGCCTCGCTGCTCCGCCTGACTCTGCTGCTGTTAACCACCTGCCACAGTGTGCTGACATGTCCTCAGGACCTGGTCTGGGGGGACGACCTCGTCACTAGCCCATATAAGTAGGAAATTATGCACACATAGGCACACATTGAAATGTATTTAAACATCTTCATATATCGTTGTGCTCAAATGTATCTGTGTTTTCTTAGGTGGTTCCTATATTTTTGCGAGTTATATACTCATTTCATTTTTAGGGACAGTTCACAACCAATTAAAAAATGCACATTATTCCTCTTACCTGACTATCTAGGTTATTTTTGTCTTGGTGGTTTAAAGATAACGGCTGTAACAATGTCGGCATTCTTTGGAATATAATGGAACTAGATGGCACCAGTATGTTGTGCTCACAGAGTCGAAAAGTAGTCTTAAAAAAACTATTTTAGAAATCATAACCCTTGTTTTGAACGACGAGTGATCATCCTTGACTAGATTTATTTCTGTGTGGTGATGCGATTGGCTGCGTTAGTTTGGTAGAAAGAAAATAGTTCCTCACTAAATTCTGCAGATTTTCCTGAGTAACCAGGCCCTGATTCAAAGAACATTTGTGGCCGTTTAGTTTCTTATTTGTAGTTGTTTTTACAGTAGCTCTTTAATCACCGCCATCTAGATTAATTATATTCAGGAAAAACTAGACATCTCATCTGATTTTGAAGAGAACTGTAACTTTAAGGAGTGTTTGATAGTGAGTGTGACATAACCTGTCAATAACATTATCTCCATTCTCCATAACTAGGTCAGAAAGGACCCCTCTGTTCCTGTTGGACTTGATTCTGGATCAGACTGGGGTTCATTACAAGCACTCCACTCGAGAACTTTAAGACATCCATGGGTCAACCTGTTCGATAAGGCCATTCTGGCCACTTACAAAGTACCTTCAGCTCGATAAGGTACATTTTTATCACCTGAATAACAGAGCATTACATTAAAATGCAAGGCTACATGAGACCTGTTAGTAAACATACTCAGAGTAGGGCTGTCCCGAATACCATTTCCGGGCTCCGGATATTCGGTAGTTTTTGAAGGAGAGTTAGCACTGTTGTTGACAGGAAGTTGTTGTTGCTATGGAAACAACGTGACGGGAGATTACGGAGAAGAAAGTCATATCTACATATAAAGACGGAGAAAGTAAACGATAAAGTGTATGGTTAAGTGTTGGCACCCTCCGAAGAGGCACAAGCTCTTCGTTGATATTGGAGATTTCAATAAATTCAATTTTAACCAAAAAAACGAAAACAAAAACGAATATTCGAAATTGAAACCCGAATAGTACTCCAACGTACGGATATTCGGATATTCAGATATTCGGGTACAGCCCTAACTCAGAGACAAAGATGTAATGGTTGTCTCCTCATTCAGTTTGTAATGCAGAAGATGTTCGTCAGGTGGGGATCCGTTGCTTGAGTCAGTGAATCTTTGGGAACCAGAAGTAACTGCGCTGAGAGAAAAGGTCTCCAATGCTATGATGCAAGGAGTCATACCTCTCAGGGCCTATGCTGCTGAGTATGAGAAATACTTAGATTTACACAACCTGGACATAGAAACCCTTCTCAAGTAAGTCTGTTAAAAGCATATATTCAAGTTTTCCCACAAGGTAAAGGGTCAGTGTGATTTATGGTCCACTCAGCATGCTTTCCTCATTAAAGAGGAGTCCGTTAATCTTTCCTCTGCCAGATCTCCTGCGAATGCAGAACAGACATCCCAGGAAGTGAAAAAAGAGGTGGAACAACATCTCAAAGACAAGGAAACACTTGAGCACTCTCTGCCGTCCTCCATTGGTAATTGGAACATTTGTTATTCGAGTGGAGGGTGTACGTCAGGCTCTCTCCAACAAAAAAAAGGCTTTAGCCAATGCAATGCTGGCCATCCTTGCTGGGAAGCTAAGCAAGCAGGTTGATGAAGTAAGTCATTTGTTCAAGGCCAGAAAAAGTATATACTGTATTGGTATAATTGGTGTGATTTTATTTCTTTCACACTGGACCTAAATGTACCCTCCTTTTGAAAGTTGTTTAACACTGATTGTATCTTGCGTGTGCGTAGGCATGTGAAGAGTACAACACAATCAGTAGAAAGCTGCGTGAGAAAAACTGAACAGCATTGAAGAGCTGAGTGAGAAGAGGGAATGGGATGAAGCAAGTCCCAGACCAGCTCAAGAGTTACAAGGTGCACATTCGCAATCATTGACTGGCTATTTTCTTGTGTGTCATATAAAGGGTTAATTTGTCATTTAATCTGATTGTTTGTTCCATCTGTCCACACAGAAAGTTATTGGAAAGACCCTGTCAGACTATGAGCTAATAGAAGAGCTTCGCTACTCTCTTTCAAATGAGAATTTTGATAAAAAGTAAGAGTAACGTCAATTATTGTAATGTTTTGAAAACTACGTTTGTACGTTCTCATGTGAGATTAGATTTCTTTGGTGAATGGAGTACACTTTGGAGTTAAAGCTACTTCTCTCTGCAGGTGGACAGCTATTAGATGGCCTCAAAAGATAATAAGCCAGATGGAAGCAGCGGCCGCCCAGCATTTGGAGGATGAAGAGCGCTTCAATAAGATTCAGCTGGCCGACCAGAACAACTTTGAGGACCACCTCGACTCGCTAAAGGTCAGCCGAACCTAATAGGTTATTTTTATATCAGATTTTTATAGAGAGATAGAGGGGAAGACATTGCCTGAAAACTTCGGCGGGCTCGGGTTTCGAACCCACCTACTAGCTACTGTAGTGTATTGCATCTCTGCGTGAATGATTAGATCATTTCACCTAAATTAAATCAAATGAAATGATGTTGATGGTTAAATTAGCTTCACATGTAGGCCTACTGAGTTCTGAACTTGCCATTTAGATCTAGAAAGGCCTTGGGGCTATGTTTTTTGATTGAATTAAACACAATATATGCACTCCACTATGCTGTTGTAGTATTTACTGTATCTGAAGCTCTAATTATGATTGCTCATATTTCAAGCCATCTTTTTCCCCGGCCCCTTGCTTGGATCATTTTCATCAACCGGCCCCATTCCAAACTAATTGAATAGCCCTGTTCTATAAACCGTTCAGCATATTTTATAGAAGTGGTCTCCCAGGGTTTCAGTTTTCTGGAGCAATTAAATAAAAGCATCAGAATTAAAAGAAATATAAGTCCGAAGCCCTTTGCACTGTACGAGCATAGGCATGTGCCTCATTTCTTTGCAAACTCTAGCTACAATTTTGGGGATCGCTTCCGAGATGGAGAGAAAAGTATAATAGTTTATATATTATATTGACTGTAATTGCAGAGGGTAAATTATTATTTACATCATCATTAAAGGATATATTAAAATGAAAATTGTGTGATTTTTTCAAGTGGATTTGTACCAAACAATCATTTTTTTATTAATTCTATATAATACAGTTTATTGGCTAGAATATCTGCAGGACCATAGTACTTAATTCATAATTATTTATATATATGGAGCTTACTGGTTCTTGAATATTGCTCTAGTCCATATTGCGATTTCAATTATATTACAAGTAATTGTGCAGCCCTAATCGTTTCTAACGGTAGCCACGAGCTGTTCTAAATTACCACTACCCTGTGTTTATAGATGCTGGTTGCTGGGATTGCATGTCATGATGACATCAATCATGCCCATAAGGTGGCCAACAAAGTGAGCGTACAAGCAAGCAACTGAAGGACTGTCTGACAATGGCTCAAACCTACAACACCAGGAGAGCGTCTGTTTGGTATTCCTGTCACTAATGTAAGTACAAACAATATCCACGTTTGTTTTGAACTGTTAAACAAATAAGTGATAAAATATACTACATAGATATTATAATAAGTATTTCTGACAATGCATTGTAAATGTGTTTTTCAGTATGATCGGCTACAGAAGCTGGTGAAGGACTTCCAGCCTTTTACGGACCTGTGGACCACCACCTCTGATGGATACGCGTTGGCACGAGAACTGGCTCAATGACCCGCTGTCTTCCATAGACTCCGAGCAGCTGGAGCGCAATGTTACAGATGTCCACAAGGTCATGAACAAATGTGTGAAACACTTCAAGGACATTCCTGGTAGGAGACGCATGTATGACCATACAAACTTGACAAAGGGAAGTGTAATTGTTGTTAATATGCTTAACGATTTCTTTATTGGCCTTATGCAACGCCAGGCTGCCAGATGGTTGCATCGGCGATCTGCATCAAGATCAGGACTTCCCAGCCGTACATTCCTCTGATTCAGGGCCTGAGGAACCCGGGGATGAAGAACCGCCACTGGGAGATTCTTTCAGACCGCATTCAGATGAAGGTCAAGCCCAAAGATAACCTCACCCTCTCTCGATGCCTGGAGCTGGGCCTACAGAACCACATAGAGGACATAGCTCATGTGGCCGAGGTGGCAGGGAAAGAGTACACCACATTGAACAGGTACCTTAATAACACAGTGATTCATGAAGTTGTGCTTGTACAGGATGTGCGATGAATGGCGCGCCACCTTGGAGCTGCATTTTAAGTAGCTGAGTCGTATTCACTGCATGGTAATCCTTGAGATTTGAGTCCTGGTTGATGAGTTGTCCCCTGTTCATTGGTGGAAACAGCAACTGTTCAATACTGCAGGTCACAGAATACTAGAGGAACAAAGACAAACATTTTTTTTCCATAAGAACAGACAGAAGTTTGCTCTTTTCCATCAATCTGTGAGTCTGCGAACACCGAATGTGAAAGAAGTATGTTACCTCATTATTCTATTTGATCCACTGTAAAAAGAAGTAGAAAAGTGAACATTGTCATTTTTTGATAACACATTTTTGATGAATGATAGCAGACCATGTCAGGCTCTGTTAACCCTTAGATGCACGAGTGACTGGACCCTACACTCTTCCATAAGTGGGTCAAAAAGGACCTGTGTTAGAATAATATGTGTTTTTATGCCATTTTTGTCATTTTGGTTAAGAAAAATCACTTGTATAATATTTAGTATTATATTTTGGTTCACACTAGAAATATTTTATATTTAATTTTTCACTATTTATAATTTTAGACATTTTTTTACATTTTGAAAAAAAACGTTTTGAACATATTGATGCAAAGATCCCCGCTATTCTGAGACCCCCCAGTATTCAAGTCCCTTTTCAAAACTAATCTCTTCTCCTCTTGTCTACTCATAGCCCACCCCCCATCAATCCATGCTGGTTGATCAAGTTTGATAGTCCTATACCCCCCACCCTAACCTTCCCTTATATTGTAAAGCGATTTTGAGTCCTTGAAAAGCCCTATAAAAATATAATGTATTATTATTATTATACTGACAGGTATCAGATCTTGCTGTGTAAAATAATCTTCCTGAGAGGTGTCACTTGTGATGTAGTCTGTGTGGTCTACAGTGAATGTATTCCTGACAGCAACAGGTGATAAGAATCAAAGGTTCCCATAGGATCCCATAGGAAATGCATGCGCCACAGACAGCTTAAAGGTGGGGTAGGTAAGTTTGAGAAACCGGCTCGAGATACACTTTTTGTTATATTCCATGGAATGCTCTTAACATCCCGATAGCAATGAATATCTTAAGTGCTTTGAGAAAAAATCCATAAAAAAAATTTCATCTGTGGAAGCCGTGGTACTGTAAAAAGTACGACCAATCATTTTAGCCGGCCCGGCTAAAATAACTGGATGGCCTACCTGCCTGTCAGCCTTCCATCTGTGCACAAACTTATCTCGTGCCCTCATTGGTCATGTGCGCGTTCGTGTGTGTTGGAGGAGGGGCTCTATAAGGAAGTGGCAGATTTTTTCCGGTGTGTATTTTCAAATTCTAGCGATCTCGAGCTGGTTTCTCAAACTTACCTACCCCACCTTTAATGTTACATATGTTAAATATGTGACATGCATAAAAAAAAAGTACTAAGTTATGATATATAAAAAATATATAATAAAAATATAATAGAAAAAAAAAAGTTACATAATTAAAAAAATACACATCCTGTAACAGTTCTATACGGATTTAGCAGCCAGGTATATATTACACAGTTATTAATGGCATCTATATATATTGCACATCTAGCACATATTGCACATAGGTGGTTGGTATTTAACAGCAGCAAGTTACACAATTTACAAAATACAAAATACACACCTTGTAACAGTTCTAAGGATTTAGCAGCCAGGTATATATTACACAGTTATTAACAGCATTTATATATTGCACATATTGCACATCGTTTGTTGGTATTTAGCATCAAGGGGTGATATAGTCTGTGTTGTGGTGTGTGTGTGGGGGGGGGGGGGGGTCAATAGGGGCTGTGCTGGTTGTATAGTCTGACTGCTGCAGGAAGGAAAGACCTGTGGTATCTCTCCTATAATGTGTTACCCCATTAGGTGGAGGATATTAACAGAACCGATTGATATTCAAATTAAAATCTTTAAGATCAATGCTTTAAAATGCATTTCACTTGAAAGCACTTGACTGAAATGTAACACCAAAAGGATGGTGACACAGAGGCGAAGTGACTCGTGGGTTTTTAGATTAAAGCAACTCACTTACTCTTTCCTGTTGAACACAACAAGTGTGTGGATATCTGCATTAAAGTGGTGGCTGCTGCCTTTGTTTCACACCTATTCACACAGGCCCTGGACAAGATGGAAAACGAGTGGTCAACAATATTCTTTGACGTGTTGCCCTACAAGGATACAGGCACCTACATCCTGAAGAGCCCAGATGAAGTCTCACAGATGCTGGACGACCACAATGTCATGACGCAGAGCATGTCCTTCTCTCCCTTCAAAAAGTCCTTTGAGGCCCGTATCAACACCTGGGAGGGCAAAATCAGAATGACTCAGGTACACACACAAACTATGGTCTTCTTGAGTATTGTATAATTATTATACAGTGTCTTTTGTCGTGCTACTGCCCTCTTGTGGTTTCTGCAGGACGTGCTGGAGGAGTGGTTGACATTCCAACGCTCCTGGCTTTACTTAGAGCCCATCTTCAGCTCGGATGATATCACCCAGCAGCTGCCTGTGGAAGGAAAGAGATACCAGCTAGTGGATAGAACGTGGAAGGCAGTCATGAAAAGTGCCTTTAAAAATCCAAAGGTCAGAGCCTCCACAGCACTACATATGAAAGGAGAAAGCTTTTGTTTTTATACGGAGATGTTAAAGTGTGTGTTTATTTCTAGGTGATTGAGCTGTGCCCAGATTCTAGGCTACTAGAAAAACTGAAAAGGTGCAACGAACTGCTGGAAGAGGTCCAGAAGGGTCTTAGTGAATACTTGGAAACAAAAAGAGGCTCCTTCCCCAGGTAAGCCTTTTTTGAAAGTGTCCTTATAAATTACTCA